TTGGTTTCCATTCTAATTGTTTTTATGAACCTCTATTGTTTAACATCATGTTCTTCTTAAATAAATGATAAACCTTAAAAAAAAAAAAAAAGAATGAATACTGGGCTGGGAATGTAGCACAGGTATAGAGTGTGTGCCTAGCCTCAGTAAGGTGCAGGTTCAGTCCCCAGCACCACATTTACACACAGAATACCAAACTAGCCCATTGCTAAAGACCCTGTTGTAAATCCATTCAAAAAGCAAACCGTCGATTGTTTCCTTTGTCAAATTGGTTCCTAATATTTCAGGTCTGTGTGTTGGGTATTGTGTTTCTTACAAGGAAAAGCATCTGCCTCACGTTCTCCCCTTCCCCTCTGCAGACCTGCAGCGAGAAGAGCACCAACTTGCATGACTATGGCATGTTGCTGCCCTGTGGAATTGACAAGTTCCGCGGGGTGGAGTTCGTGTGCTGCCCACTGGCCGAGGAGAGTGACAGTATCGATTCTGCAGATGCAGAGGAGGACGACTCTGATGTGTGGTGGGGTGGAGCAGACACGGACTATGCAGATGGGAGGTAAGGTGTCCCACCTTGGGCCTCATACATGCTAAAACATCGTGTATGTGGTTTTGCATTCATTAATAAATGTGTCTTTATATTTCTCACCAAAAAGATCTCTGCTCACTACTATCAAAGTTTTCTCTTTTGGAAAAAATTATCAAACCCTGGAGTTCTGTTAAAGATTATAGCATGCTATTTAATTTTAATGTAATTGGTTGTGGAGTTAATTTTAATCTCAAGAATTGAGATTAAAATCCCAGTAATATTATAGTAGATCACTGATAGTTCTAACAGGGAATTGAAATCTAAATGAATACTCTGGCTTTCTCTTTTGCTCTGTAATTTGGAAATATTTTGTAAACACTATTCTGGGATTTTTTTCCTTTTTCTTTTTCTTTGTCAATTATTAATTCTGCAAACTTTTTTAAAAGAAAGATTTGGTTTTGGGTTTTTGTTGTCTTTATGGGATATTCTTTGCCTTTGTCACCATTTTCCTTCATGTCTAAAGTCAAAAGCATTCATAAATGCTAAAGTTCTTTTCTCTTCATTTTTGTGATTAACATTTTCATCAGTTTTTCTATGAGATCTTAATCCCATAATTTATTATGAGATTCCCATTTTTAATTGAAGACAAGCTTCTGGAGTAAAATCATAAGATAATAGATGTAGAATCTTTAGATTAGAAATGTCATCTGGGTCAGTTGATTTCTTACCATATCATCCTCCAGAATGTGAGGATTGTGTCACTTGTTTTTCCTCCACTATTCTCTCTTGATGTTCCCTAGTGTTATAGATCTCCCAACAGAAGGTTAAATACAAGTTGTAAGACTTGCTGTTACACAGTACAAAGTTTTCTAACTTCAGGCAGAGATTTTTTGTGTAAGTGTGGAACACATTTTGTAAAATTTTCAAAATAATTTTACTATCTGTGTATGCTCAGGAATCTTAGCTGCCTGTTTTTGTCAGTTGGTAAAAGGTTTCTTTTTAGTGGGTGTTGCCTAGTTTGTTTTTTTTTTTAAATGTATTCAGTATAGCTGGACATAAAGCTAAATAACCAAAATAAAAACAAAAAACAAATTTCAAAGGATGAGAGAAAGAAATAAGCAAAAAGCCATCTGTAAACATGCAAATATTTCTCTGTTTTTGTAGAAGCTAAAAGTTAATGACACAACTTCCTTCTCCCAGGGCAGGAAGCCTCAGTGTTGCAGGATTTGCTTCTGAGAAACTTTTTTGCACTTCGTTGCATAGAATGGAATATTTGGGTTCCATGCTGGATCCTCACACATCTATTCCACCTGCCAGATGCAGGGCATCCTTTGGTTTGGGTCTAATTGCCACTTGATCTAAAGTGGCCTACTTCTCACTTTTTTCAAAGTAATTCTTTGATAGTTTTCCTAAATTGTAGTTAAATCTGAAAGCTTCAGAGTAGCTTTTAAGAAAAGTCTTTGCACCAGGTCTCTGCCAACATGATACCAATGCAGCCAGTACTAAAGGGGAAAGTTTCAAGTTGT